AATCTGAGACAATTTGGGTTAATAAGTGATAAAGTAAAATATTGTTGCACATATCCTGAAGGGAATCAGAGTTTTCCGATCAATAAATATTGATTTTGAAGAATTCTGAAATATTTCTGCGAAAAATAGTTTCTTTCCTATATAAAATACAATTAAAACTTGGGACGCTTTAAGCGACCTCTAAATATTTTTGATTAAAAAATAAAAAAAAGACAGGGGCTTATTTTATTCGATACAGAACAATCCTAGGAGGTGAGAGCATTCAATTTTAGACTTTATTTTTTTACATGCATTTTTGGACCACCCTAATCTATGTATATATTATAATTTTTTACTTTTTAATCCAGTTTTATTGAGAAATAAGCTTTAATATCGGCCTTCCACTGATTATAAGCGCCGACCATTAACTTAAACATATATTCGCCTGTTGGCACTGGAAAACGTGCAAACATTTCCTCGTGAAGTACCAGATTTTTCACAATGATATCATGCTAAAAGGAATGAAGAAAACCAGAATTAGTTGCAGATTTCCAATTCCAAGCGTAAGTTCACATACAGCATACGGACAAGTATGATTAATATTTGATTCCGTCAGAAGAAGATCAAGAAAGATTTTAAGAAAAGGAAAACGTCTACGATTAGCCATGAAGCCACAGAAATCGGCAGTGACATTGTTGAGGAACGGACGATAACCGCTTGCTTTCTTAAAAATGCTTACATTTATCTGAAAAGCAAAAAAATTGGTTTAATAAATAAATAATTTTTTTATGTATGTATTTAACTTTTCTTTGTACTTACACTGACATTATTCACCGGTAATTGAAACAGTTTCACATAGAGAGATAATGCAATTACTCCTCGTTTTACTACCGTTAATCGGCAACTGCGAAAATCTGCAAATGGTTTATCGAAAGATTTGCATACCACGTTTGTTAATTTTATGAAAGCATCCGCTGATCGAAATAATATAAGAAATAATATTAGCGTTACACAAAACCATTTACCCCGTGTTGACCACATTTCATTGCAAAATAAATAAATATTTTAAATAAATTTCACATTAGGCGTACTACAAGTAACCTGTGCGTCAATTCGTTAAGAATAATTGCCAAAATATAGTAATCATTGATTGGAAAAGTACTTAATTTGAAAATAATTTATATGCTTTTAGTATAATGGATATGTACAGGCGCGTAGCCAATTGTGGGGTAGGGGATTTCAAACCCCAAAATTATTTACTCGTGCCATTTATATGTACGTATTTCCGAATGAGATCTCTATGCTTAAAATATGTTGGTTCTACCAAGCGATTTCCGAGCTTAGTGAGAGCTTTATAGTTCTGGAGCTAAGCAGTGGTGTGACCAGGATTTTGGAAAGATCCCTTCGACCAAGAATGGGGACACATAATGACCAGATGTTACGACTGTGAATAATGTTCTCAGGGCAGTTGGGTCTACGCAACCGAAACGATCCAGATTTATATCAGGCCACTCCATCAGTCGTCACTCCAGCAATTTCTATGATGGTAGAACTACAACAAAAGCAACCAAGAGTAAGCGAAATGGAATGATTTCCAAAGAAATGTATAATCTTCTCCACAACTAGAGCTTCATATGGCACCACGTAGCTCGCTTAGGGCAGAAAAAGTTCACAATTGGCTCCTCTCATAAAAGTTGAACGAACTGGTAGTAAGCTCATCATCCAGTCGACAGTGAATGTAGAGATTGCTGGTTGATGACCTGCGTTAAGGTTAAAGCCTTCCCTTAAGCCATCTACTAAAGTCGACCTACCGATCATTGACTGCATTCCCAGCAGATCAGAATCCATTGGTATTAGTATACATACACAGGTTGTAGGTGTTTCCAATCCGAATTGAGAAATTGCTCCAATGGTCCGAGTGCTATAAGCAAAATGAGAGATTTTTCGAGTGAAACGCGTGTCGACTTGGATTTTTAACTTTGGACCATGGCAATTTTTGAATACAGTTTTTCGCATCCTCCCCACAGGCTAATCGGACATGCAAATGATGTGGTGCCGGGTCATCTTTCCACAACGATTAGCGTAACCTTAGAAGAAGCCACTCAATAGGTCAGTCTGTTGGAAGTCAAAGCACTAAAGCAGTGGGGTATTCTTTATAAGCTCTTAGACTGAGGGAAAAAACTGTAAACTAGTCAGCGATTGCAAATACAAGTTAAGATCAATCAGAATCCTTATGGTAACAATAGGGCCAATAAGAGCCACGATCACGGAACACTGGTCTCTTGGTGGAAATGGGATAGGTCTCGCGTACCATCGCCGGTGCTGCAGCTGTGGATTGTTGATTGATCGGCAAGCCCAAATAGTTTTCTAAAAATTCTGAATAAAAAGTAAGAAATTGTGATGAAACTTTGTTTTATTATATAAAAAACATGTAACAAATAAATTGTCAAAAGTTGTTAATATTTATGTGGGTGTCGCATAGTTATGATAAGCACTATATATCAAATTTTTTTATTAGCGGTGGAGGGCAGAATTTATCATTCAAATTAGAAACAACCCCTTTCACCCTGTCGAGTGTATCGATTACCTCGAAAAATTATACATAGATTAAATAACCGTTGTATGTATACGTCGCATGTACCATATATGTACATATGTATGTATATGTGTGAGTCAATCCATGTCGAATCGACCAATGGTTGGAATCGACCTTTTTTTGATTTGGATGAATTTTATTCAGAACTTTTCTTTTATCATATAACGAAGTTCTGCCAAAGAAAACACGATTTTTTTTTTGTAAATTTAGCACAATTCTAAATTTCAAAAATTACGGAGCTGCAAAATTATTTTTAGATTATCTCAAAAACTATTATAGTTACAAAAATAGTTCTAGTGTCAATTTACAGGTGACATTAGCTATAAAAAAGTTATTAAAAAAACAAATTTTAAGAATTTTTAAATAAAAAAATTTTAAAAGCAAAGACTTATAAAAACTTTCGGCCGATTTTCTTTAATACCGTACCTCCTACTACTCTTAAAAGGCCCTGAAAATTTCAAGAAGGTTTTTTAAGATACATATGAATATTTGAACTTTGAAAAAAAAAAGTTACCAACTGTAAATAAAGTTACGCTAAACAATTTTTATTAAACTAAAATTTATTTTTAATTTAGAGTTTGCAATAAAATTGTTGTTCAAGTTCAAACAATCATATCTTAAAAAAAAAATTTCACGGTCGTTGAAAATCATTTAGAGGTATTATAAAAAAAATGTTGAACCAAAAATTTCTATAAGTTGTTGCTTTTAAAATTTTTTAAATTCCAAAATTCTGTAATTTGTTTATTTTTGATTTGTTTTATACAAATATTTTCATATAACCTAAATTATCACCTTTAAAATTATTATAGCGACTTCGACTTTACTGGAAGTATCCTAAAAGTACAGTGTGAAGAATGATCTCGAATTATTTTTTCTTCAATAGTGAGTATGGTCTACACTTCAACAAAGTGGGTGACTGCAAATATGGTACATAATATTTTCTCGTGAACATGCCCTTCTTAGTCATAGTGAAAATAATATTAATTTCACGAAACAGAGGAGGAACTTCGCCATAATTTATGAGCTCCACAGGCAAATATATCTTATGTCAAAACACATAAGCATAAAACAATCCACTTGGATCAATAATCAAGACAATTAAATTTGTAAATTTCACTTTTGTTGTTTCTATGTATATTCATGCAAGGGTTTATATCAAAATCAACTTCCTTCAAATGCTCATCCTAAAAATAATAAATTACCATTGTTTACACCATCATTCCTCATTTCATAAGCCCAATAAATATTTGCAAATATTAAATGTTAACAAAAGTTTAGCAATCGACACACATACATACATCCATACATACATACATTCAAATGTACATACATGCATACAATTACTTGTAGTTACATATGTATGTCTGCCTGTGTGCGCTTGTGATTGCCTGGAATGGCTTTCAAACAAATCAGCTATTTGTTTAAATTTCAACACTTTTCATACTGCATAGTCTTCTTCTCGCTTACAATTGAAAACACTGAGCATTTACCAAAGTGATTTCCGTTTTCATCGAATGATAAACAACAACCCAAGCAAAACACACACGATCACACTACTTGACAGCCAGCGGAGTTTACTTGTATGCATTGGCAGCGAAATGCTCAATAAACCGTGTGATTTTCTTTTCTTTTCTTTTTGGTCAGTAATGAAAATAAAACGATTAAAAACGAATTATAAACAAACAAATGAAATTAATAATCGAAATATCCAAATAAATATTGGCAGCTTCACATAAGAGGAATAAAGAAAGGCGACGCAAATCTAGGCAGCGTTTTAAGAATACACATATATGTATGTATGCATAGGTACATATGTGTGCGTAAATATTAGGTTCGTTCGCGTAGCTGTTAATTGTTCATGTTTAACCAAAACTTACAAGTTTTTGCGTTCGCGTACGCAAAAAACTTCCAAAGTAGGGGAAATTGAGAGAGCAAAGTGACATTTCATTTTGAGGGGAAGCTGCTGGTTTCTGTTGGAAAAATTTTTGCCAACAGCAATTTGCCAACAGGAAAACAGCTGATCAAAAACAGCTGGTTGGCATTTACGCAAATCACAAAATTGAATTTGATGATTTGGAAGTTAAAAATTACAAAATGCGACTAATTAAACTTGTAAGAAGTAAGTAGTTATTTGTTTTATCAATAAACTGTGCCAGGATACCACTTTGTAATGAGTTTTCGAACGTTTTAAATTTTACACTTTTGAATGTAAACAAAAATTATATCAGCTGTTCGTCTAACTTGCAAGTTTCTGCAAATTTTCTGTTCGCGTACTATTTTGGATATTTCTCTCTTGTGAGCGAACAGATGACATTTCGCCGGAATTTGGCAGTTGGTTGGTTTCTGTTGGAGATTTTAAACGAACGCACCTATTGACTTTTTATACAACGCAGACAAGTGGCCGTTATGTATGGGCCACACTCATCCTCAAATGTTTGCAGGTATGTATGTATGTAAGTAAGTATTCGTACTCGTGTGCTATTAAATACGCCCATTTCTTACTCAACTTTTGTAGCCCTTCCTCCACCTCCTCCTTAGCAAGCATAACAAATAAAATTAAACATATTGCAGTGAGTTCATAAAATTATTACCGTGATGAAGTAGGTGGCGAAGACTAGGTCCATATGTGCGCGAGCCAACAGAGTCCATAAAAGGAATATACATACATATGTATGTACATATTTACTTTCATATGTTTGCATTAGGGCTGTGCGATTAATTGATTACTCAAAATTTTAATTAATCATAAAGTAAATAACTCAGTTTTTCGATTAATTAGAAATTATGATTACTCAAAAGTTCAGTTACTCGAGTAATCAAGATTTTTGATTAACCAAAAACAAAAATATTTGAGTAATTTGCTTTATGATTAATCAACATTTCGAGTAAAATGAGTAATTAACATTTCAACTCTTTACATATGTATAAAGTAGTTAAAGTTCCTTGATACTTTGAAAACAACGTTTCTGTTTTCAAAAATTAAAACAAAAATTTTTTTTCATATACAGAATGTAAAAAAGAAAATAAGCATTTTCCAAAGCAAACTCTTTTAACGAGCAAACTTATTTTTTTTTGAGTAATCATATTTCAAGTAACTCGATTAATCATCGTTTTGAGTAATCAAAATCTTGATTACTCGAGTAATTGATTAACCGAATAATTGATTAGCCAACTTGCTCGAGTAATCGAATAATCGCACAGCCCTAGTTTGCATGTATGTAAAATAGTACTTGCTTATGTTGCACTACTTATGCTATGTGTGAGAATATAGGCCCACTAGTTTATTATTATTTTTTTTTCGTTTATTTCTCTAGCCACTTAGCATATTTATGTACAAGTTAAACAAACAACATCACTGTAAAACATAAGCCACATACATACCTTATGGGAAAAAATTATGAGTTTTAAAATTTTTAGAAGTACATATGTACATACATACGTGGGG